GTTGTTCGTCTCAGTCTCTCAATTAATACTATTGCGTATTGCCCATTCCAACCTCTGTTTACACAATCACACACCCCAGCCCTCGTTTACACAATCACACACCCCAGCCCTCGTTTACACAATCACACACCCCAGCCCTCGTTTACACAATCACACACCCCAGCCCTCGTTTACACAATCACACACCCCAGCCCTCGTTTACACAATCACACACTCCAGCCCTCGTTTACACAATCACACACTCCAGCCCTTATTTACACAATCACACACCCAGCCCTCATTTACCCAATCACACACCCCAGCCCTCATTTACACACACCCCAACCCTCATTTACACAATCACACACCCCAGTCCTCGTTTACACAATCACACACCCCAACCCCTCGTTTACACAATCACACACCCCAACCCTCGTTTACACAATCACACACCTCAGCCCTCGTTTACACACACCCCCAACCCTCGTTTACACAATCACACACCTCAACCCTCGTTTACACAATCACACACCCCAACCCTCGTTTACACAATCACACACCCCAGCCCTCGTTTACACAATCACACAACTCAGCCATCGTTTACACTCACACCCCAATCCTCGTTTACACGATCACACACCCCAACCCTCGTTTATACAATCACACACCCCAACCCTCGTTTACACAATCACACTCCAACCCTCGTTTACACAATCACACACCCCAGCCCTCGTTTACACACACACCCCAACCCTCGTTTACACAATCACACAGCCCAGCCCTCGTTTACACACACACCCCAACCCCTCGTTTACACAATCACACAACCCAACCCTCGCTTACGCAATCACACACCCCAGCCCTCGTTTACACAATCACACACCCCAGCCCTCGTTTACACAATCGCACACCCCAACCTTCGTTTACACAATCACACACCCCAGCCCTCGTTTACACAATCACATACCCCAACCCTCGTTTACACAATCACACCCCAGCCCTCGTTTACACATTCACACACCCCAACCCTCGTTTACACAATCACTCTCCCCATCCCCGTTTACACAATCACACTCAGCCCTCGTTAACACAATCACACACCCCAACCCTCGTTTACACAATCACACCCCAGCCCTCGTTTACACAATCACACACCCCAACCCTCGTTTACACAATCACACTCCTGCCTCCGTCTACACAATGTAAACAAGCCTACATAACATTATCGTGTACAATTATGAATTTAAATTTGTAAACAAAACATGTGAAGTTGTCTGGTGATACCAAGATGGCGTGCGGGGTGAGGAAGATCAAGGACGGTAGTAGTAGTTGTAACAGCAGTAGAATAATGTAGTGGTGGTGAACCTGGTGATATACCAGACAAATCTCAAGCCTGGCTGGCTTGTAGAGACAGGTAGGTGTGTGTGTGTGTAGGTGTGTAGGTGTGTGTGTGTGTGTGTGTGTGAGTGTGTGTGTGTGTGTGTGTGTGTGTGTGAGCGTGAGCTGTTAAACACCCAACAGGGCTTCACAGGGATCGATACTCCGCCTTATCCCTTGTAATTAGGTACTTATTGATAATGGTTAAAATCATAACTTTGATTTTTGAAGAGGTGGAGGGGTAAGCCAGCTGAAGTCTTCGGCTAGATGACCAAAAGCTCCAGCTGGAAACACTTGTCCTATTTCCTGACAATTATACACTACTAATCCTTTACACCAATGATCTATTAAAGGGACTAACATATGTCAGTGATGCAATACTTACGTACTATATATATTATGTGCCACCACAATATGCCACAAGGATGGAATTTTGCCTGACTAGCTTTGTACTACTACTGGACTACCTACTCGCAGGAGGACCAAAGTTATTGTTTACTACAGACATAATATACAAACAAGATGGTTGCAACTACGGGAGTACCACTCGGGGCCTCCTACGAATGACACCCTGTAGTTACACAAACAATAAAGTACATATATTGGTAGGCTTGAGCAGACACTGGCTTCCAACAGACACTGGGCTGGCTTATTTCTCTCAGCTGGGTTTGCTTGCTGGCTTGGTTCCTCGACGAAGGACACATCTGCATCGCAACGTTCGCGTTTGAAAAAGAAAATTGGAAAATCCATGCACCTGTGACCTAATATAAGAGTATTCAGAGGAGACTTCAATAGGTTGGTGCGGTGGCCGGAAACGTGAAAAAGGAAGCGGAGTTCCAACGTGGATAACTGCATGGTAATATATATCAGTTATAATTATTTCATGATGTAAACCTTGGTAATAGATACCGACAAAATGGTTTAAAAAAACACGTCAGCAAACACTAGGACACTAGTAAAAGTTTCGGTCCTGGGACCTTGATCAAGGTTCCAAGACCGAAACGTGTTCTTTCTTCAAGTGTTTGTTTACGTTTAAACTATAATAATCTCATTCGTGAATATACGAGACAAAAAAAAAAAGGTACTCGTCAGGAGCGACCTAAAGGATAGTAAATATTATGAAGCGACGAGTAACAGTGACAGTGTTGGATGTTACAACCAGACATTTTGGCTACAAAACACATGCAATAATATTGACACTTTGTAACACACACGTCCTTACCTCACCTTGAATATTCTGTCCAAGTTTAAACACCATATTACATTAAAGTTGAAGATAATGTCAGAGGGTGTTCAGAAGGGCGACAAAGCTAGCTTAATACTGAGTTCAAAGACTGTGAAACTCAACATTTCTTTTTAAACAAGCAAAGTGCATATATGTATCTAAGGACAAAACTCAAAGTTCACCTGCTGATTACGAACCTAACGCCATGCAGCTAGATACACAGTGCCATGCAGCTAGACTCACCTACCTTTCCAAGGTAGCACTGTGGCAGGGGAGGAGACTGGAGGGCAGGAAGAGAGCCTTCTGCTATACTATCCTAACTTCCTGTATCTAAAGTGTAGTTGGACCTTGATATAGGCCATAAAAATCTTCTGTTATCTAGGTTTTCCATTCATCAAGTTGTCGGTGGTGTACAGTCAAGAAGTATCCATACTTATGACAGTTTACCTTCATGAAGTACACCTCACTCCAGAAATACTTAATGTACATGTTCGCACGCATGCACGCATCCGCCCGTACACAAACATGCACACGCGCGCGCGCCCACGCCCACACACACACACACACACACACACACACACACACACACACACACACACACACACACGACACTGGAGGACAGGAGAGATAGGGGGGACATGATAACGACAAATAAAATACTGAGATGAATTGACAACGTGAACAGAGACAGAATGTTCCAGAGAGGGGACACAGCAACAAGGGGACACAGTTGGAAGCTGAAGACTCAGATGAATCACAGAGATGTTAGGAAGTATTTCTTCAGTCACAGAGCAGTCAGGAAGTGGAATAGTTTGGGAAGCGATGTAGTGGAAGCAGAATCCATTCATAGCTTTAAGAAGAGGTATGATAAAGCTCATGGTGCAGGGAGTGACCCAGTAGCGGCCAGTGAAGAGGTGAGGCCAGGAGCTATGAATCGACCCCTGCAGCCACAACTAGGTGAGTACACACACACACTCTCTCTTTACATCACTTATATACAGGCAACTTCATGCGACATTCAAACTGCACCTGACATGACTATTTATGAGCCTTGAGATAAACACATCTCGACTAAGAGCAGTGAGTGCAGCAGAGGTAACCCATAGCGCCACCCACCACCACCTCATGTGTCATCACGCACCATCTTGCCACGTCCACACCCATACCGTGGACACATGTGAACGGCTCATGACAAACGTCCTGTTAAGGGATTTTCCCCTGACGACAAATAAAACAGCAGCAACAACAACAACACATGCTCGCTTATACTCAATGTACTGGACAACAGACTGTCACGCACACCACTTCACTCTTAACACCTCCGTAGTACGAGAGAAAAAATATCACATTACAATGAACTTACTATGAATTGTTTGTTTCTCTCGTGGTTGTAACAGTTGGTAATATTATTAATACTGGCTCCTGCAAGGAAAATGACCTAGTTATTCAAGGACTTTTGATTAAAGAAACTAGAATTACTCTCCTAGTCCTAGATTAATCAGATCAATCTTGACCATCTCCTATCCCCTCTGAGGCTCTGTACGACCTTAAACTTGTACCTTTAATGTCAACATATGAATATACTATTACTACTACTACTAATAATAATAATATTTTTTTATTAACACATCGGCCGATTCCCACCAAGGCAGGGTGGCCCGAAAAAGAAAAACTCTCACCATCATTCACTCCATCAGTCTTGCCAGAAGGATGCTTTACAATACAGTTATAAAACTGCAACATTAACACCCCTCCTTCAGAGTGCAGACACTGTACTTCCCATCTCCAGGGCTCAAGTCTGGCACTGCCGGTTTCCCCGAATCTCTTCATAAATGTTACTTTGCTCACACTCCAACAGCACATCAAGTATTAAAAACCATTTGTCTCCATTCACTCCTATCAAATACGCTCACGCATGCCCGCTGAAAGTCCAAGCCTCCATCACCACCAGGTTTTATATATCTTAACAATTTACAACTATCAGTATCAATGTGCTTCTTTACTGACCAGTTTACTGCCATGTTATAAATATTACAACTTATTAATTACAACAATTGGAAGTGTTATGCGATAATCGCGAACAAACGATACAGAATGCAAAACAACCACTGGGAGAGTTGAATGACAGCTCTAGGCCTTTCGTGTTGCAATCCACACATCATCAGGAGCTTGCAGTGTTGCAGAAAAAGGAGAAATTCCAAGCAAATACGTTCAGAGGAAGCGTCTTTGGTCGAGCAACTTCACCAGGTGCCAGATCAACCAGGCTGTGATGGATACGTGGGGCAGCAGGCCTCCAGCAGTAACAGCCTGGTCTGACCAGGCTAGCACCAGACGAGCCTGACCCATAGCCGGGCTCCGAGAATAGTAAGACTCTCGAAACCCATTAAAGGTATATCAAAGGTGCACAATGATCACTTACCTTAAGAATTTTGATCTCTTTACTAAGAAGATTCTGACTCTTGGCGATGTTCTTCTTGGTGATACTTTTAATGGCCACAGTGAGCGAGGGTTTCTGCAAGAACCAAGAAATATGTCTTAGTGTGAGCAGGGAGCACCTCACTATCTTTCCAACTAGACGTTCACAAAGTGTATTTATTCATTACTCCCATTTACCCCCACCTCCCTTGACTCATTACCACTCATGACTGGCATTTCCACAATTGTAGTCTAGCTTTATTTTAGAATGTAGGTCGTTACAGGAACTTAAGGGGCACGTCAGTTCCCCTGTTTTCTAATATGTTATTTCCTCTCCTATAATCTACCTTGTCCATAATTACTATTACATTTGCTTTGTCTGCTTTCGTAAGGTGAAGTCCAGGATCTTTCCTTAATTCATGGTATAACTTAACAAATATTCGATGACAACTGTGTTGCAGAGGTGTAAGCTTTGCTCACACTTCTGCAACACAATTGTCCTCAAAGATTTGTTAAGTTATACCATGAATTAAGGAAAGATCCTGGACTTCACCTTACGAAACAGACAAAGCAAATGCAATAGTAATTATGGACAAGTAAGATTATAAGGGAAAAATAAACATGATATTAGGAGACAGGGAAACTTACGCTCCTCTTAAAAGAGTAATGACCCTATATAGGACGATGGGCTAACATTTCTGTTTACCGTCCATTACAATATAGATAAGAACAAATTACCCCAGGCTGGGAACCCTTACTTCAGAGAAAGTACACAACACTGATAACGTTATAAATAACATAAGGAATTACACGCATATGCAACATCTGGGTATCTTTATTTGTAGACGTGACTGTAGAATTATATACAAAAGACGAGGTAATCAGTCCCTCAGCCTTGGAATTAGTGATGAGCAGTAGGACGTGTTTCCTGAAGACACGTGCTGTCCTTGTTCACTTAGCAGTAAAATAGGTACCTGGGTGTTAGTCGGCTGGTGTGGGTCGCATCCTGGGGACAAAATTAACCTAATTTGCCCGAAATGTTCTGCATAACAAGGGGCTTTCTATATAGTAATATGTCATTGATGTCAGCTATGGTCTGTATATGTTGCATCATGTACTGGTAGAAATAAAGGTCATTATTATTATTGTTGTTGTTGTTGTAGGTGGGGAGATCACCGGAAGATTATTCTCACGCAAGGAACGCTGGAGGTCATCTAAGTTACTTTAAATATCTTAACAGATATTTAAATAACTTACTGAAGAAGGAAACGCGTCCAAAACTATATTTAACTTTACTTTGCAGCACCGACAGTCTGATTAATTGGGTCATCAATTAGGTCTGGTCTGGGGCCGGGTCGTGGTTCATTCCTTGGCCAATGACCCTTGGAATCAACCACAGATTACAAGTTAGTTGACTGTGGGAGGGAAAAAATCTTTAAGTTTGTTTTCTTCACGTGTTCTCTCAGCTCGCTGATAGTGAACTGCACAGATACACTGATAAACAACAGACTGAACTGGACAGGTACACTGATAAACAACAGACTGGACTGGACAGGTACAGTGATAAACAACAGACTGGACTGGACAGGTACACTGATAAACAACAGACTGGACTGGACAGATACACTGATAAACAACAGACTGAACTGGACAGATACACTGATAAACAACAGACTGAACTGGACAGATACACTGATAAACAACAGACTGGACTGGACAGGTACACTGATAAACAACAGACTGGACTGGACAGATACACTGATAAACAACAGACTGGATTGGACAGGTACACTAATAAACAACAGACTGGACTGGACAGGTACAGTGATAAACAACAGACTGGACTGGACAGGTACAGTGATAAACAACAGACTGGACTGGACAGGTACACTGATAAACAACAGACTGGACTGGACAGGTACAGTGATAAACAACAGACTGGACTGGACAGGTACACTGATAAACAACAGACTGGACTGGATAGGTACACTAATAAACAACAGACTGGACTGGACAGGTACACTGATAAACAACAGACTGGACTGGACAGGTACACTGGTGAACATACTAACAAATCTTTGTTTTAGCCAGCCTCAACAACAATAGTTTTCTTAAGGCCTCTAGTAAACTACTGCCGAGGCTAAGAAACCAACCCATAATATTAATTAGCAGAACACTGTGTGTGTGCACTCATTAATGTTCCTGTAGACTACCTTTTATTTAACGATTACCTATTATCTTGAAAACGACAAATTATTTTTTTGTTTTTTCAATCGACCAGTAATGAGAGAGGCAGCTACACAGCTCTGGCAATGATGACAACTGATAGGACAACCTCAAAATGAGACCATAAATTTACAAGTGAGAGACAACACATCAGTGAACGTGGAGCCTGACAGGTCAAAAACCTCACAAGAGGTTATGTACGTGTTTACAAGAGTGAGAGAAACAACACATCAATGAAGGTGGAGCCTGACAGGTCAACAACCTCACAAGAGGTTATGTACGTGTTTACAAGAGTGAGAGAAACAACACATCACTGAACGTGGAGCCTGACAGGTCAACAACCTCACAAGAGGCTATGTACGTGTTTACAAGAGAAACAACACATCAATGAAGGTGGAGCCTGACAGGTCAACAACCTCACAAGAGGCTATGTACGTGTTTACAAGAGAAACAACACATCAATGAAGGTGGAGCCTGACAGGTCAACAACCTCACAAGAGGCTATGTACGTGTTTACAAGAGAAACAACACATCAATGAAGGTGGAGCCTGACAGGTCAACAACCTCACAAGAGGTTACACATTCTTATAAGCAAAGCCTTTTCTTCAACCATGTTGTAAGTGAGAGGAAGCAGATGGGAGAAACTGCGTTGCTTTCTCTACTACGCACTACCGTCATTCCTAGTATGCGTCATCTAAATAGCGTACTGCCGACACTACCTAAAAAAAAAAAACTGGCAGAAGCTTTTATTGAGATCATTGTTTTGCAACATGGTCTCAATAAAAGGTTGTGCGTGCAAAGGCGATCACCGCGCGCGCGCACACACACACACACACACACACACACACACACACACACACACACACACACACACACACACACACACACACACACTGCTCTCATTAGCTTAAATTGCTATGCATGACTATCAACCTTCTTGCAAGGAGTGCCTTTTCTACGTAAGTTGATCTATACTTTATCGGTAAAGTGCTGAGCTCACTATTCCAGACTTGGGTTCGATTTCCAGGTAAAGTGTGACATTAGGAGTAAATTCCCTTAAACCCGCTGCGTTTGACTACCTAGTAATAAACAAGTACCTGTACAACACAGTTGTCCTCAAAGATCTGTTTAGTTGTACCATGAATTAAGGAAAGATCCCAGACTTCACCTAACGAAAGCAGACAAAACAAATGATAGTAATTATTGACAATGTAGATTATAGGAGAAAAATAAACATGATACTAGAAGACAGGGGAACTAAAGTGCCCTTTAACGAAGAGCATCTTCCAGACTTTAAATTGACATGGTAAGAGCTGTTATCTAACATCGGGTTATTTCCAAGTCCAACTTTAAGATACACTATCTCCTCCAAGGATGCCGCCTACAACAGTGGGCTAACATCCACGTACTTATTTCCTGCCAGGTGAACAAAGGTAACAAATGTAAGGTAACATGACATTACGTCTCCACACAAACTAAGGTCCTTTAGTTATGAGACGAAGGCGCTACCACCAAGTTACCATCACTTGATGGTGGTTACTGAGAGCATAAATAATGAGTCATGGTGCAGAGCAGACACAAAGGCAGCAGAGTATTATTAGTAAATCTGTGAGGGACTTGTGTGGGAGAGGACGCTCCCACTACGTCACTGAGTATATTTTAAAGCAGGTTCTGATCACGTGACGTACTCTTACACCCACCCTCTACCTGCCTCCGCCCAACTGATAACATTAACCGGTTGCCAAACACGACACAGCATCACCGCCCCAAAATTATATACTCTACACACACCAGGTAACCATTAAGTCTGGCCGCTAAGCCAATGGTAGGTTTGCCGTGGCTGACCATAGGGCCAACGCCTACAACAATCACATGTAAGTTAGTACACAGGAACTAGTACCGCAGAACACGTTAGTGACTGCTGCTGCTTGCCGGGCCCCTTCCATAGAGGTAACACCACCACTCAGAGTGTCATCAAAAGCCAAAATTGATTTTTAAATAACTGCAGAAACAACACCCATCTCTGACAGTGCCAGAGCGCCACACGTACACTACCCTGGAAGATGCCAGCACTAGCACTAGAGAATCATGCTGCCTCACACCCCTGGCAACACTGGCAACCACACCACCTCACACACCCACAATCAATACCAGATGCCGACCATTCACACTACTAAAGACAGCTACGGTGGCTGCATTTCATCAATACTGTAGGAATGCACCACTACAGCACTGCTAATATAATACGTATTTAGGGATGAGAAATCTTGTCTTACAATCTTAGTGCAGTTTTATGACAGTTACGAAGATCAAAGAATAAAAACAGGTTTGTCAGCATCTTTCTACAATGCAAAAAAAAAAAAATCAGCTACCTATATACCAAACAGGAGAATAGTCCAGAAACTGGGAGAGGCAGGAATAAAATAGTGTTCTAGTATATCAGATATTATGTGAAGGGCAGAAAGCAGAGAGTAAAAATAAGGAATAAAACATTAGAATGAGAAAGAGTAAGGAGCGAGGTCCTGCAAAGTTCTGTATGAAGACCACCTACCAGAAAGGGTTGAGTCGTATGTGTGTGTTTGATGACGATGGTAAACAAATGAGAAGAATAAGAACAGCAGAAACCAGAGGGCCTCTACGGAGACTGGAGAAAGTGTAAATAAGGTCTAACAAGTGGCTGCTAGAGTTCAATCCAAACAAATGGAAGGTCATGCAGATTGGAGAGTAGACTTGACATAGTCAGCTGCTACAAACATCAGTAAATTGATCTTTTATTAAATTATCACACAATATACGTATATTACTTGGCGTACATATAACCTGTATAATCAACATAGGAACACAAACAGTGTATATTTAGCTGCATATAGA